AAGGAAACGCAGTCAAGGTCACGTCCCTTTTCCTGCCAGTGGGGGACCGTGCTCTCACCACGGAGACCCCACTGCCCCACCAGTGGACGAAGACCAGTTGCTCCTCTTTTAACAGTGCTCCAAAGAATACTGTAGCACTGGAATTAAGCTCTGTGATGTACGGGCCGCGCTGTGTGTTCTAACTCTGCTGTCAATGACACTAGCATCACCGAGAAGCGGGGCGAGGGTGCCCACCAAGCGTTTGCCGGGAGAGTCCTGGTGTGCCCGTCACCCCAGCACCATGCCCATCAGCACTGCTTTTCACCTGCAACAACGCCCCAGCCGCACGACGAGGTGTTTACACCCCTTGACTCGCCCGCCAGGGCCTGCGATGAGCAGGCGACAAGGACCCCGACTTCCAAAGCTGGAGTGCTTTACTGCCTCCTTTGAACTGTGACCATTCCCAGTTGAAAGCGTCTGGGGCCAGAAGAGGAGGTTTAAACCCATCGTCGGTGAGGGGGAGGAATGCGTGGTGTATGGTCATCGGGGCAGGACTAAGTGCCGTCGACGGTGCCTGCGCTGGGTCGGCCACCTCCGGGAAGAACCACGGGAGATCTGGCACTGGACGTGGCACACACTAGGCCTTCCCCTCAGGTTTTCTCTCACCCTCTCTTTGGGGCAAATCTCTGAAATCTCACTGAGGTTCAACCTCTTTGAAGCGTGATGAAGCCGAGGTGACAGCCTCACAGCCCCAGCCGCAAGCAGAACAGGGAGACTGCGGCCAGCCACTCTCCCACCCGTGGAGGTCTGGGCTCGCTGGGGGCAAGGGGCGGGGTGGCGCCCACGGCGGGGGAGGGGCAGCAACTACGTGGCACCGCTGCTGCGGGCAGAATGGAGGCCTCGTACCAAAGCTGTGTCCACCCGGGACCAGCAACTCCCCTGCGCGTATCAGCCCGAGGGCACCTGTGCCGTGTGCACGGAAGCGAGAAGACCTGTGGGGAGGCGACTCTGGGCACCTGTCTTTGGGACTTGAGGATGAGGCAAGCACCAAGCAGGAGGCAGATCTCACGTGGACCGACAGGGGTCTCAAAGGCGGCAGAGCCACACAGCCCGTGTGTGTTTAGGGCTGATGCTCTCTGTGCAGCTCCGCACCGCTGGTGAGGTCAGTAACCGCGGGGGTGGAGACTGAGGCCGGCAGGCGGTCATCTGCTCTGAGCAGACGTTAGCCCCAGCTTTTTTATTTTTTGACAGGCAGAGTGGACAGTGAGAGAGACAGAGAGAAAGGTCTTCCTTTTCCATTGGTTCACCCTCCAATGGCCGCTGATCTGAAGCCCGGAGCCAGGTGCTTCTCCTGGTCTCCCATGCGGGTGCAGGGCCCAAGCACTTGGGCCATCCTCCACTGCCCTCCCGGGCCACAGCAGAGAGCTGGCCTGGAAGAGGGGCAACCGGGACAGAATCCGGCGCCCCGACCGGGACTAGAACCCGGTGTGCTGGTGCCGCAGGCGGAGGATTAGCCTAGTGAGCCGCGGCGCCGGCCAAGCCTCAGCTCTATTTAATATTCCTAATGTGCGCGCAGCCCAGCCTTCAAGTTCAAGCTGCAGCCACTGCTGAGGCGTCACGGGCCTCACGCAGTCGACACCCCACCGAGGGGCCTGGGCCAAACTGACTGCACACTCTGGGGTCAGTCTTAAGTAGTAAGTGCTGGCTGGATTCTTTAACAACCAGCAGCGGGAGAGGGTGTCACTAAATTACATGAGCTTTCACCTGGCCAAGTCCTTCCCGGCTCCGCGCAGACACCGGCCGGCTTGGTGATTACGGGCACGGAGTAGCTCCATTCCTAGCCGCCAGCCCGGTTCGGGCCAGCCCCGCCTTGCTCTTTCTCTAATAAGGAGCCGGTGGAATGTGAGTTCTCAAGCCGTCAAGGAAAGAATGTGAATCTGGGAACTCTCCATCTGGCCGCTGACAGAAAATAGATCTGATAGCGAGAGGGGCTCCCGCCCCTGCAAGGCAGTCGCCACTTGGGGTGGTGGAAATCCAGGGGCAGAGCTAGGGCCACAAAAATCCCACCCAGCAGTCGGTTTGGTCAGTAACTAGCAGCTCCCAGCTTTCCTGTCCTTCCCTGCAAAATGAAGGCCCCGAGACGTGGCCACGCCAGTCCCTGCCGGCCCTGGGACTCTGGGCGGAGAACTCAAGTTGGGCAGCATTTGCCTCTGTCCCCTCTTCAGTGCTCGCTTTCTCCCGGCTTCCAGGACAGTCTCTCCGCAGAGCTCTGGACGTAGACATCTTTCTGCCACTTGGAGACCTTCCCACGTGCAGCCCAAGGCCGCTCCAGCTCCCAGAGCTCATGGCCTCCCCTCCCCCCTTCTCTAGTGGAAGCCGCAGACGTGGGCAGCATCCTGGACACAGCCATGGTGTCGCCAAGCCTTGTCGGCTGACCTCCTAGTCACCGGTGCAGCCTCTCGCCATCACCTGTTCTATGTATTTGTAGAATCAGCTGCCCCTCCAGACCCAACCCCCACTAACTCTAGTTCCCCCTCAAAGTCTATTTCCCCACAGCCCATGGCCAGAGAGGTCTTTGAAACAATGTGCGTACAGCACCTCCTGGCCACCGGGAACAAGGGCTTCCTACTGTTCTAAGGCCATGAGGATAACGAACACAAGGACTGATCTCATCCCCTGGGCTGACGAGGACGCTGCCCACCCGCCCAGAGTGGCCTTCGGTCCCCCAGCACTGCGGCCCTCTGGTTCACTAACGCGCCCAGGCCCCTTCCGCCAGAGGGCCTCAAGTCCGCTCTTGCCCGAGCTGGAAGCACCTGCTGGTGACTGTCCTACTTGGAACTGCACCACACCCGCCACCGCCTGCCGCACTCAGCCTCCCGTCCTCAGTTCAAGTGCGCGCTATCACTTCTCAGGAGAGCACTGTGACACGCTCGCACCCAGGACGCTCCCCGGCCGCAGGCTCGCCGACGAGCCCCTCCTGACTGCGATGACTCACTCCTTCCAGATCCTCCAGGCCCACGCTGAGCAGAGCCGGGTGTGACTGAGCTCGCATCACACTCCCGACACCTCGCAGCGGACGCGGCCCACGGGGTACTCGCTGCAGCTTTCCAGGTCAAACTCACGGCTTCTAAGGCTGCCCATCAAGAGGCCACTAAAAGAAAGCTAAAAACGCTGGGAACTCGCGTAGACAAAATCCAAAGTCACCCTCCCTGCCCCCCGGCTTCATTTTGGGCTCTTCCTGCCGGACTCGGCTCTGAAATCCTCCTCTTCCTCTCCCACCTCCACCATCCCCATCACCGCCACCACCACCACCACCATCTCGGCTTCTCCCATCACCGCCACCATCTCAGCTTCTCCCATCACCACCACGGCAGGGAAGCCACCCGCCAGCCAGGAAGCAGAGTTCCGTGAGGCTAGCCTGCTCCCCTGTCTGCTTCGGGCCTCTCGTCTCCACTCACCTTTCTGTTGAGTCTCCCTTACGGGTACCATCTTGTTTCCTTTCTTTTTTTTTTTTTTGACAGGCAGAATTAGACAGTGAGAGAGAGAGACAGAGAGAAAGGTCTTCCTTCCGTTGGTTCACTCTCCAAATGGCCGCCACAGCTGGTGCTGCACCAATCCAAAGCCAGGAGCCAGGTGCTTCTCCTGGTCTCCCATGGGGTGCAGGGCCCAAGCACCTGGACCATCCTCCACTGCATTCCCGGGCCACAGCAGAGAGCTGGCCTGGAAGAGGGGCAACCGGGACAGAATCCGGCGCCCCAACCGGGACTAGAACCCGGTGTGCCGGCACCGCAGGCAGAGGATTAGCCTAGTGAGCCGCGGCGCCGGCCCATCTTGTTTCCTTTCAAAATGTACCTAAATACTCTGGGCGAAAAAGCCATTAGGGACAATTGCTTTATAAACAGAACCAAACCCGTCACAAATGCAAACTATCAGTGATTCCTTTCTCTTCCACAGAAGAGACACACACAAAGGAAGAAGAAAGTAGCTGAAAATGAAGGAGCAGTAATTAGTAATCCAACCAGATGACAGGCCTACCTAGACTTCAAGAGTCAAGCTAAAACCTGTATCCAACATCACCACTGCAAGCCCAAGCGAGATTTCAGAAGAAATGTGGGTGAGGGCGGGGACAGCCGGCAGGCAGGCAGTGGGATGCCTTCCGGGGTGCCCAGAAGTGGGGGTTCAAGTTCCTGCTCTGCTCCCGACGCAGCTCCCTACTAACGTGCACCTGGGAAGCAGCAGGTAACGGCTCGAGCACCTGGGCTCCTGACACCGACACGGCAACCCTGCACGGAGTTCCAGGCTCCTGGCACTGCCTGGCTGCTGCAGGTACTCTGGGGTGAGCTAACAGGTGGGAGACACCCCTCCCACCTGGCAAACAAACAATAAGGTTTTTTTTTTTTTTTTTAAATTAGAAACAGTGTCTTTTTTTAAAAGAATTATTTATTTGAAAGAGTTAAGAGAGAGAAAGAGGCAGAGAGGGAGGGAGAATCTTCCATTCTGCTGGTTCACTCCTCAAATGACTGCAACGGCCAGAGCTGAGCCGATCCGAAGCCAGGAGCTTCTTCCAGGTCTCCCACGCGGGTGCAGGGGCCCAAGGACTTGGGCCATCTTCTGCTGCTTTCCCAGGCCACAGCAGAGAGCTGGATCGGGAGAGGAGCAGCCAGGACTCGAACGGACGCCCACATGGGATGCCGGTGCTGAAGGTTGGGGCTTTAACCCGCTCCACCACAGCGCATTCCATATCAAACTCCACATACGGTATATACTAAAATTATATAAGGAAAACACTAAACTCTTAATGGGAAAAAACAGGAACATGAAAAAATGAGAGAGGTGTCACACTTTTGGCTGAAGACTAAATGCAGAAAAGACAAGACAACAATATTTCTCAACTTAATTTTCAGATTGAATGCAATTCCAGTCAAAGTACCACCAAGGTCATGTCTGAAACTTGATAAAAATGGTTCTTAAATTCACACAGAAAAACAAATGGGCAAAACTACCAGAGAATTCTGAGACAATGCACACGAGGGAGGCACTGACCCAGCAGAGCCGAAACACAGTCGAAAACAGCGGTCGTCACATGAAGGCTGCGCACCCGCTGCGGCGAGGCCCTGGGGGAGCCGTCACCCCACAAACAGCAGACAGGCGAGCTCAGGATTTCGAGGGTGCCTGGCTCTGAGGATGGAGAGGGGCCCATCCGAGCCCCCTGTCCACTGCCGGTGAGACGGTCCTAGGGCAGGAGGGGTGGTGCTTTGCTCTGCGTCTCTAACGGACCGAGCACTGTCAAAAACATTTAGAGGAAGACGAAGGCTTCCGGGTGGGACAGACGACAGCCTCTCGGATTTCTGCGTATTTTCCAGGGCTCACCTCGAGCTCCCCACCCCACCTCACTCCTGGAGTACGGAGGGCCCAGAGCCCAGTGTGGAGTTAACTGCATTCTCCCGTCCTGCTGGGAGGTAGAGGGAAGCGTGAGGGTGCCGCTCCTGCACCAGGGGTCCTGCGCCACCTGTGCCAGGGGGCACCATCTGGACTTCCTGCGGGCGCCTGGGCGCCCTGCACAGGGTACCGCCCAAGGGTGCTGGCTGAGGGGAGATCTCACCCCCACGCCTGCGTGGGGAGGAAGGCAACGCCTCCTCCTGCCCTTCCTTCCTCGTCCTGGGTGAGGAGCTGAGGAGGGGCAGACAGCTGCCTGATGAAGGGACTGACGACAACGGGGACAGCGCCCAGCTTCTGGTGATTTTTACCGGAACAGCAGAGGAGGAGGAGGGGGAGGAGGGGGAGGAAGGCCCTGGTTCTGAGGCCTTTCTTGCAGTTTCCCTGAATTCCGTGGTGTCTCCTCACGTGGCCTGTCTGTCCATCACGGGCCCTGCTAGGAATCATTAGCATCAGAGGAAACTCGGGGTCACCTGGCCCACACTAGGGTTCTTTTTTTTAAGATTTATTTATTTATTTGAAAGTCAAGAGTTACACAGAAAGAGAAGGAGAGGCAGGCAGAGAGAGAGAGAGAGAGAGAGAGAGAGGTCTTCCATCCGCTGGTTCACTCCCCAGATGGCCGCAACAGCTGGAGCTGGGCCAATCTGAAGCCAGGAGCCAGGAGCTTCTTCCCGGTCTCCCACGTGGGTGCAAGGGTCCAAGGACTTGGGCCATCTTCCACTGCTTTCCCAGGCCATAGCAGGGAGCTGGATCGGAAGTGGAGCAGCCGGGTCTCGAACCTGCGCCCATAAGGGATGCCAGCGCTGCAGGCCAGGGCGTTAACCCACTGCGTCACAGTGCAGGCCCCTTCACACTAGGGTTCTTATGCCTAAGAAAAGAGGCCAAAAAGACAAGGTTGGAGGGGACACCAAGTGTTCACCAGAGGGAAGCAGAGGGCAGGCCAGTGGGATGCATCCCGACCTCACTACAAACCGGTCCAGATCAACCCTCATACTCCTGACTGGTTGACAGCGTTCTTTGCTGTTGTTAAACATTTGTTTATTTTGGGGCCACAGCTGTGGCATAGCAGGTAAAGCCACCATCTGCAGTGCTGGCATCCTATATGGGTGCCAGTTCAAGTCCCGGCCACTCCACTTCTGATGCAGCTCTCTGCTATGGCCTGGGAAAACAGTGGAAGATGCCCAAGGCCTTGGGTCCCTGCACCCACATGGGAGACCCAGAAGAAGCTCCTGGCTCCTGGCTTCAGATTGGCACAGCTCTGGCCATTGTGGCCATCTGGAGAGTGAACCAGCAGATAGGAAACCTCTCTCTGTAACTCTGCCTTTCAAATAAAATAAATCTCAAAAAAAAAAAAAAAAAAGACATGTATTTTTTTGAAATATGGGCGGGTAGAGAACTCTTCCATCCACTGGTTCACTCCCCAAATGGTCACACCAGCTGGGTCTGGTCCAGGCCGAAGTCAGGAGCCGGGAGCTCCACCCGGGTGGCAGGGTTTGCCTAAGCTCCTGGGCCGTCTTCTGCTGCCTTCCAGGCCATTAGCAGGGAGCTGGACGGGGTGGAAGCAGAGCAGCCAGGACTGGAAACGGTGCTCAAATGGGGCCAAACCCCCTGCACCACGACGCCAGGCCAGGCCCGGGGTTGGCTACAGTGCTGAGCCACACGCCCTGATGCCTGCACCGGCCAGGACCACGCAGTCCCCGGACTGCCTTCTGGGGAAAACAAAGCCAAGTGAAAATAACAAACACCCTGGAATGTTCCGTAGGGGCAGCGCTGCGGCGGAGGCGGCTCCCCCGTTATCAGGATGGACTGATTACAGACTCATTTGCCTGAAGATAATTGCCTCAATTCTCCACTTCACTCTGCACATATAGAAATGGTCCCCATCTACGGAGCTGCAGTGACTAGACATCTACAATTGGTCTAATCACAGTTTGAAGAGCCTGAGCTGGAAGCTTTGCTGCGAGCGTGCGCCTGGACCACGACACCACTGAGGCTTTGGCCCCTCTGGGCTCGCGCCCTCCCCCAGGCCCAGGGGCTGAGTCGGATCCTCAGCAGAGCACAGGAAAACAACCTGGACTTGCTCTCGGTTCGGCCGTGCTGGTGGCTGGGAGGAGGTGGGATGTCTGGGAGAGGTGAATCGAGGACAGGGCCCGAGCCGAGGCTGCTCCCAGCAGTCAGCAGGGTTCCACCTACGGCCCGCCGGCTACAGGCCGAAGCTCGTGTGAGCTCGTGTGCAGGGTCGGGGGACACCTGAGCCCAGCATCACCTGTCCTGGAGACATCTTTGGGCATCGACGTCTCAGACGACCGTGGCAAAGAACCAAGGCAGCTGCGAGTCAAGGGTGGGCAGGCAGAACCCAGGCCCCACTTGTACAGGGCAAAGCAAGGCTGGGGAGGGGACCACCCCAGGAACCCCAGGGGAGCTAGGCTCGGAGACACCACGTCCCAGGTGGACCCATTCATGGCTACATCTGTGTGAGGAAGCTTCCACACCGTTCCTGTTGGCTCAGGAGTCCAGAAGTCACTCCTTCCATGGCGGAGAGAGGCCAGGGTGGGGGAGGGAGGGGCACCAGGCCTGAGGAGCCCCTCCAGAGCGCAGCGAAGCGAGGACAGGCACCCCTGGACCACTCCCGACACTCTCTGCGCACGGGAGCACGGCTCACTTCTGATCCTGTCTCCCTTTCGAAAAGAATGGCACAAATAAGGGCCTGTGTCTCAGTGATGGCCTGGACGCAACCCAGCCAGGTCAAAGGAGATGATTACTTCCCTCCTATTGTGCGCTTTTAGCTCCAGAGAGCATTCCCCCGAACCACAGAATCAAGGCTCCGGTTTTCACCGCTGCGGCGGGGGAGAGGCGGCCTGAATACCAGCAAAATAGCACCCGGGAAAGGGGCCGAACGTGCCCGCCCCGCACCCGGTCCTGCTGGGCGGCAGGCGGCAGGGGCAGCGCCGCGCTCTCAGTGGGGTGGGCCTTTCTGGCTGATTGTCACAGTGAGCGGCGGGGGACACTTCGAGCTCCCTGAATTCATTTCTGTTCAAAGGAAACTTTGAAAAGCTCTCCGTCTCCCAGAAACAGTCTTTCCCAGTGATCACCCAGACAGCAGATTCAAGAGCGACGGGCAGCAGCACCCACCTTCATCCTGAGTCTCATCTTGGAACACCGCTGGTGTCCCGGGACCGTGACCGTGGCCCATGTCCACCTTCCATCTCCCCCAAGCCACCAGCACGTGGCTTCACACAAAGAAGGCGCACAGGGGTGGGTACACCAAAAGCGATCCTCTCGTGGGCTTTGAAAAACCCAGTGAAAAACCCCAGTGTCAGGCCAGATCAGACGCACATCTCTCTCAGATGCACTGCCCCTCGGACCCTGTGATGCGGCCTCCCTCCTCTGTCTGTCTGTCTGGTGGGGAAATGGCTACCGAGGCGCGTGCTGCTGGAGGGCGGGCACCGCTCAGCCTCCGTCAGCTCCGGCTCTGCCCGGTGCGGGAAGTCTTGGTCACGGCAGGGACGCGGTCTGTGACTGCTCAGTGGCCAACTTCCGAGGTGGCTCTGGAGGGGAGGGGGAGAGGGCCGCTGTAATTACTCGAGGAATCTAATTTTTTTGCTCCCACAAGTTGTGGAGCCCGGGGCCTCCAGCCCCTGCCCCGGTTATGAAAGCTCTACAGACAGCCCGCGCACCTGTTGGTCCGTGTTGGTCCATGTCCTGACACAGCCACTAAACATTCCTTTCTGTCACCAAGCCCCTCGCACGTTCAAGTGCTTCCAGAATAGAAGCAGGGTCCAGAGATCGTGTGCGGCAGCTCGGCCCCCCAGCCCCTTCCCACAGTCTCTGGATGCCTTTCATGGAATCAGAATGGGGCTGAAAAGAACTTTGGCAGGCATCAAGTCCCAGCTCGAAGCAGCTCCTGAGTACCATGGAAAACATCTCCAACGTGTGGTCATCTGTCCTGTGATTTAACACTGCTTCTGACGAGGAGCCAACAGTCTCCCGACGGCCTATCCATTTCACAGCTCTAACCGTGACGCTCTTCTGCCCTGGGGTGAGCTGAGATCTGCCTGTGGTCGCTACCGCCATAGGCTCTGACGCTGCTCTCTGGGCCGCATGAAGTCAGCCCACACGGTTGAAGACAGTATTCTTCACAACTCGTCCAGTTTACTGTGCGACACTGTAGTGGACGGGAAGCCGCTCTTCGCCGTCCGGCTGGTCTAGCAGCCCTCCTCCGACACGGCCCCGAAGGTGACACGTGCGCACACTTTGTGACAGCGGGCAGAGCGAGCCCCTGGTAACAACTGAGGTCGTTCATCACGCGCTTGCTCCTTTTTGAAATTCACTCTGCAGCAAGCACTGTTCAAAGTCATGCACGTCATGCATCTGAAAGAGCATTTCCTGCACAGATCCACTGGCTCGACCTCGGCACTGAGTGTGAGATGGAACAGCATCGCAGTGCGGTGCCCCCGCCCCTCCTGGAGCCCGCGTCGCATGCACACCAAGACGTCTTTGTAACTCTACATCAGTGGGGCTTGAGAACGCAGTGCTTGGCTAAATGTTCATTTGCTGATTAAAATTAAAATGCATCTTGCAAAGAAAGAGCATTGCTAATGCAGATTCTAGTCCAAAAATATGCATTATGTAATGTACATTTTTAATAACGCAGGCAATCTCTGTGAGCTACACTGGAGTGGCTCTGGGCTGCCATCTCCGTCCCAGGCAGAAAGCACTGCACCTGAAACGCAGGCACTTCCCCAGGCACACGGAAGGCTCAGAATCCCCCCCGCTGCTGGCAGCGGGCACCAGCGCCCACCTCCCAGATCCCCCCGCCGTGTCCTGAAATCAGCTCCACGCTCTGTCGGTGGAACTGGGTGCCTGAAAGGAAGAACATGGGCAGTCAAGCTAGCAGACGCCCTTACAACACTGCTAGTCAGGGCTGGGATTTGACATACACATCTCCCACGCCCTGTCCAGGGTCCCGCACAGCGGTCAGAACCACGCAGGTGCTTGTCCGCTGCCCTGGGAAGTGTCCACCAGGCCTCTGGAACACAGCGCTCGCTCCTTCACGGGGATGTCAGATCAATCCCACTCCATTAGACCAATCAGTGTTTCCACACTGCAGGCGACCCCGCAGAACACAGACGCGAGGCAGCTGCAGCCAAGCAAAGCCAGAAGCAGGGCGGCAGGCGGCTGAGGGCTGAGCCCTCCACGTGGGCGCCAGTGAGGGCCTGACTGAGGTGTGAGGACAGGCTCCACCGGGCACAGGACGGCTAGCTGGCCACCAGGAAAGAGCTCCAGGTGGGAAAGTCTGCAAAGCACTTCCGAAGGGCGAGCCCCGTCTGAGCCGTGCACGGAGTGAAGCGAGCGTGGGGTGCTCCACGCGCCCAGGAAGAAGGCACTGTCCTGAGCCTCCCACCTAGGGACTTGGCACGGTGGCCAGAGGCTCACGCCTCACCCAGAGCGAGGGCAAGCCGGAGGAGACGCACTCAGGTCTTCCTCCCCAGCCTCCCTGGCTCCCCGCCAGCCCCCGGGGAAGGCTGACTCCACCTCGCAGGACTTCAGGGTCGCACGGCGGATCTACTGGTACCCGGCTGCCCCCTAGCCTGAGCGCTCTGGTTGAGCCAACCACCCTCTCATGCAGAACTCACGCTGGCCGGCAAGGGGGCACTCGGGAGGACTCCGTGCTTCCAAGAACCACACATCCATCCTAAGTATCTTCTTCAGTTCACTACTCTAGCTTCAGCACCTAGAACAGAGCTTGGCCTGTGCCAGGCGTTACTGGGCATCAGCTGAATGAACTACCTTGACTGGACTCCTACCTAAGACACAGCTTTCGGGGGTACCCAGTGAGGGTCCTAGGATAGCAGATCAGAGCCCCCAGGGGCACAGATGTGGTTGTGTGGGCTAACAGCTGAGAAAATCTCTCCTTGTCCGCTGGCCTCAGGTGTGTGCCTGGCACATGGAGCTCAGGACCGACCACCAGAAGATCGCCAGGACCCTTCTCAGGCGAGATGCCCAGCCGTGGGTGAGGGAACCAGCCAGCTGAGGCTGCACCGGGCATTTTTTTTTTGGAAGCATCTCTAATTAGTCAGTGCAATGGATCTGATTAATGACTGCCCGAGGTTGCCATGCCCAAACCATTCCGCCCTTGGAAACCGCTTGGGGGGCCGGCTCATTAACCCTGCTGGGTAGACCCCCACTCCCCCGAATCCTGGACAATTTTGCGGTCTGGTTTTCTGCCGCTCCGAGACGGGGCTCATTTCACGGACAACCCGGAGAAGCCGGGGAGGGTACCGAGCCGCGGGGAACACGCGCGCGGCTGCCCACGTACCCTGACTTGTGGCGCGCCGGCTCGCCTCTCGGCACCCGCTGGGCCCCTCGCCCGTCGCTTCGCCCAAACCCTTCCAAACAAGGTTCCCTCCTGCCACCTGCCGGCCCGCTAGGGTCTGCGCCACCGCGCAGCTCCCAGGGAGGCGGCCCCCACCTCGCTACTGCACATGCCCGGCGCAAGTCCGGCGCGCAACTTCTTTAGGACCTCAGCGCCCAGCCGCGTCTCGCCTCAGTCTGCTCTTCCCTCTCCCGGCGAGAGGACTGGCGGAGGCGCCTCTCTCTAGCCTCAGACTGCAGAGTCTGAGACAGCGAGAGGAGCCCGGGCAGACGGCCCTTCGCTCCCCTTTCTCACTCCTGCTTTCTGCTCCCACAGGCAAGCGGAGGCGCGGAGCTCTCGAAAGTTCCCAAGCGCTCAGGACGGTAGGTATTCCCTGATTCTCCCCGAGCCGAGGGGGGACCGGGACCCCGGGCTCGGGTCCTCACCTCCCAAGGTGTACCTTTTTTCCGCTTCAGCAGCCCTCGCGCCTCGGCGCCGCTTTCTGCAGAGCCAGAGAGCGGGTCGGCTTCCCGGTGTGCGCCTAAGAGAATGGATCGGAGGTCCCGGGCTCAGCAGTGGCGCCGAGCTCGCCATAACTACAACGACCTGTGCCCGCCCATAGGCCGCCGGGCGGCCACGGCACTCCTCTGGCTGTCCTGCTCCATCGCGCTCCTCCGCGCCCTCGCCACCTCCAGCGCCCGCGCCCAGCAGCGCGCGGCCGCCCAGCGCCGCAGCTTCCTGAACGCCCATCACCGCACCGCTGCCCAGGTATTCCCTGAGTCCCCCGAGTCCGAATCCGACCACGAGCACGAGGAGGCACACGTCGACCTGTCCCTCCCCGAGTGCCTGGAGTTCGAGGGAGAAGAGTTCGACTACGAGAGCGAGAGCGAGACCGAGTCCGAGTCGGAAATCGAGTCCGAGACCGACTTCGAGACCGAGCCCGAGACCGCCCCCGCCACCGAGCCCGAGACCGAGCCGGAAGACGAGCGCGGCCCCGCGGTGCCCAAGGGCTCCGCCTTCAACCAGTCTCTCACCCAGCGCCTGCAGGCTCTGAAGCTGCGGAGCCCCAGCGCTCAGCAGCCCCCCAACCCCAGGGAGGGGGAGGAGCCCGGGCGCGCGGCCGAGAGTCGGAGCGACCCCGCAGAACCACAGGAGCCCAAAGAGAAGAAGCAGCAGCGCCGCTGCCGACCCAAGAAGCCCACCCGCCGCGACCAGTCCCCGGAGTCCCCTTCCAGAAAGGGGTCCATCCCCATCCGGCGTCACTAATGGAGGACGCCGTCCAGATTCTCCTTCTTTTCATGGATTCAGGTTAGCTGCCCACCGCTAACCCGGGAGCCTGCATGCGCCGTGGGAGCTCGGGAGGGGGCGGGAGCAAGGTGGCAAGAGCGGGCTCCACTCCCCCGAGCGGAGTCTGGGCGGGGTGGCAAGGGCTCCCCAGACCTCCCCAGGGCACCGGGGGCGCCCCGGAGGCCGAGGGCTTGTCGGACGGCGAGGCGCTCCTTGCGCCTGGCTGGAGACAACCTGTGGTCTCTGAGCGGGCGCCCCTCCGACGTGCGACCGACGCCGAGCGCGTCCCAGGTTTAGACCTGCACGCCCAAACGGCACGGTAAGTCACTGTTTTACGCTTTTTCACTCCTAGAAATGTGAGTCTCAAACGAGTTGGCTTTGGCGGCTGCCCGAACTGTGGTTCGGAGGTGCGCGCGCGCCAACTTTCCCGATTCGCGAGCAGCCGCGCTGTAGCGACACTGTTGCAATGTGCGAAAAGTAACCGGAACGCGATTGGGCGAGAACTCCGGAGCCTGCCGGCTCGGCAGGGAAGTCGCAGGCGCGCGCCGTGCCTGAGCGGCTCGGAGCCTGGAGCCTAGGTCCCGGCGGCGCCAATTTGGAGCTGCGGGACTTAGGCGCCAGCGCCCCTGGCTGAGGCGCGGCAGTGTTACCCACCACAGTCCACCTCTGGGCGCTCACAGGGCTGGAGACGGCCGTAAAAGCGCGCGCACCTGCTCGTGCGCCCCAGAGCCGGCGGCTCCCCGGGAGCCACTGGTGCTTGGAGGACAGGCGGAGGAGGGACAGGGACCTTCGGAGGTGCCCCTCCGGGCTACCTGGGTTGACTGCGAGGGTTTGATCACTTCGGGGTATCGCCAACCTTTTGGCGCAGCCGGTAAGGCGGCGGGGCCGGATGCAGCTCCAGTGGGGAGGTCCAGCCAGGGCTGTTTGCGCAAAGCCTGGAGCCGGGAGAGAGGGCTAAGAGGACAGCGAGGTCGCAGAGAACGCAGAACAAGGTACCGGCTTGACTGGCTGGAGTGGGGGTCGCGTCATCAGGACGCGGCACGATTCGTCCCCAAGGAGCGTAGCACCCGCTGAGCTGGGGGAAGGTGTTGGATCTGGCGCCAGTCCTAGGGCGGCCGAGAGGGGGCCGGGGCTGGAGGGGAGAGGGGAGAGGGGAGGCGCGCGCGTTCCGGCCATTTTCAGCTCGGGTGGAGCTAAGTTTGGAATCGTAACCTGGAGGAGAAGCCGCTCCGTGACCCAGCACAAAATCGGCTGCAATTCGGCGGCGCACTTTGGGCGCGGGAAGGGTGCGTCTCTCGCCGGTCCTGGGGGGAAAGACTAGTAAGTGAAATGTGTTTACACGAATCTCGCCGATTTGGAAGTTGGGGTTACTGTTGGAGCGCGTGTGTCTCGCTGTGCGCCGGCTGACGCTATTCTGATAAAAGTGATTTGGAGGGGGAAACTGAAGTGTCCTGGTGGCTGGAAATGCAAGGTGGAGTCCTTAGGCTCCCGGTACAAGCGCCGTGCCGGAAGGCCAGCACTACGCCGTGTTTCGGGGGTCGCGGCACCCCAGACCTCCCTGGGGTGGGCTGCGGGGCCGAGCCTCGGGGCCGGCCGCGTCTGGTCTTCCCCAGTAAACCTGGGGTAGGCAGCCTGCTGATGGGGTCAGAGGGCTGGAGGCCCAGGGGATGGTGGAGCTGTTTGGGGCTAAAAGAGGGAACCTGCCCGAGTGAAACGGAGCCCCGCGAGCTGGGCTCTGTTCAGGTCGGCACTGGCGCGTTCCTTTCTGTGCCGTTTTCTGTCTCGCCTTGGGGAATGTCTGGTAGCAGGTTTCCAGGGAGCAGGGCGAGAGGCCTGCCCGTTTCTGGAGTGCTTTGCAGTGGGGGAGCGGTCTCCCCGGGCCTGGTTTTCATGGCCAGGTGAGCTTTGTCCTGCAAGTTTAACAGTGCTCGGTGCTTAGGCTCCCCACCCCAGGCCCGTAAGCTGGGGGGAGGGGGTGCCCCAACCTGGGAATAAACCAAGTTTTTCAAACCTGACTTCCATAAATTACCTGAGTCAGAGGGGAGGATACTCACTTTACAGCCCAATTGAGAAAACCTGCTACCCAGCGGCAGCAACTCCCTCCCCCACCCGGCTCCCTTCCCCCACCCTGACTCAGGGTGAGAAGCCATTAGAGACCACACAGAGCCACCGATGGGAATACTGACCACCCCCAAGAAAGGACCCACCCCCACCCGGGAGAGGGGCTCGCTGTGCAGACGCCTGGGACCCTCTTTCTGCCCCAGACCCTCCTATTCCGGCCACCTTCCTTTAGCAGACTTTTCTACCAAGGTCTCCAAACATTCCCGAGTCACCCGACGGGTCTCCCAGGCTTCTTTGTCTCGCCCTGCTAGGCTGCAGTTAGCATCTGAATGGGCTCGCTCGCCCCCTTCCCGGAGGTGGAGTCCCATAGGGAGTGTGGGGCTCCAAAAATGCAGATCTTAGAGCTGGCCACAGAGGTAACAGACCAAAGGTATAAAATTTCCAATAGAGAGGGCGAGGAGGACACAGCGGGCGACAGGCAGGGGTGCCCGCGCACGTAGAATTCTCCCTGACTGCGTTCATCATGCCAGAGGTGCACTTGTAACCGAGTCTGAGCTGGAAAATTACATGGCAGTGTTCAGATGTTGTGTGATGTCAACAAGCGGACAGCAGCTGGCTCCTACAGCTCTGCAAACCACTTAACCTGTGTCTCTGAGAGGGTTCTGTAAGGGCCTCCAGCCTGCTCTCCCGCTCTATCCCGTCAGCCTTCACTGTCAGCAGCTGTGAGGTTTACGGAGCAAGAAAGCCGGAACTTCAGTGCGCTAGGAGTGGGCTGCTCTTTGTTTTTAATGACCTGCTGAATTTTACTGAATTTATCTGTACCACTGCTCTCTAAGCAGAGGGGCAGCCATGGAGAGGAAACCGAGCAGAAACCACGGTGTGGGCAAAGCGCGTCTGAACAGGAAGGTGACCCGTAACAAAACCAATCATAAAAGCAGATGACGCGCCAGAGGCCAGTGACGTCACGCGCCAGCCCACGTGTCTCCACGCGGCCCAGGACAGGGGACGAGATTCTCCAGTTACATCTTTAATCCCCTCGTTCCAGAAGAGGGAGGGAGTTTCTCGTCCTGCGGGGTCTTGACACGAATGCCCATTTCCTAGATCTGGATGCCCCACACGCGGGGCACTGGGGCGTCTGAGACAGCGGTCAGTGTGCCAGCCCGGCTGCAGCTAGCCCTGGGCCGGCCTCGCCGCCTCTGCCCGGGTCTCCCCTACAGGGAACTAGCTGAAGTAGATGTGCCTGGGACCGCTGTTGGTGCCAGTGGACACAGGCCATTCACTTAGGGAGCCTGGAGTGGACTCCATCCATGATCTAAACACTCATGGAGCCCAGATCTCAGAAACTGACCAGACAGAAGGCAGCGCCGCGAGGAGTGTGTTCTGGGTGGTGTGAGGCTGGTAGGGAACGCACCCCTGCCGGCATCTCAGGGCCCCAGCCCCAGCGGGGGGCGTGGTTGAGGCTGCTGTGGGACAGGGGTGGGAGCCGAGGGAGCGGCTATTACAGAAACTGTTCTCCCACCCCCTGCCCCCACTGTCACTCCGCCAGGGAGCTTTTTCAGACATTTTTATCTCCCTGGTTGTTCCCTGGCCCCTGCCACGGCTGGGCCACAGGTATCTGCAGCACCTGGGAAAGCCCATTTGTTCTTTTTTTTTAAACACATACCCAGAGCAGTTTTACCTTCAGTGCAAATGCACGGGATAAACAACATTTAAAAAACAAAAACATACTGCATCCGTCAAATTAAGTTGGTATCCAAATTTTGCCTTATACAGTGAATTTTTGTGGTGTTTGTTCTTTTGTTTTTTCCACCCCAAAGCTCTCAGGTTTGGTTTTTCAAAAGCCCCCCAGTAGCTACTTCAATTCCCCAGGCAGACAGGCTGGAGGAAACAGCCCGGGGGCTTCATTCTCCAAGGCCAAGTGTCACCGTCGCTCGGCCAGCACAGGCAGGACACCCGAGAGAGGCTGGTGCCGCAGCAGCTTCTGCCTGCAAACTGTCCCCCGGTGGACCTGGGAGGCTGCTTTCCCAGCCTCAAGCTCAGACACAGCCTGTGGGCTTCCTTTAGGGGGAGCGTGGTGCAGACGGGCACAGACATGGCTATCAGAAAGGCCAGGGTGGGCAGAGGGTAGGGACAGGTTCAGGAAGACAAAAAGAAGGTTCTGGGGAATTACATGGCAAAAGCCAGGAAGCTGTGGGCAGGCAAGAGAATGCCCAGATACGGGAGCAGTGAATTCTGGGTTCCAGCCTGGCAGGCACTGGAAGGCCACCACTGAGGGTCTCCCCTCCGCCTTCAGGGTCTCCTAGTGGACCTGGCCCAGAAACTGCGATGAACAGGTACCGTGCGGTTTTCATACAAGTACCTCAACTGCTTCGACCAAACCTCAAGATTTAAAACCTAGGAATCTTCTAGAACCCAAATCCTAAGCCTTAGATGTCTGTTCAGGGAAAGGCTGGTCTTTGAGACCCCCACTCTGAAACCTTAGGAGTATGAGGGGCAGCGATGGGCGGCCAGCCTCCCCCAGGCCAGACCTGGCCTGAGTGGCCTGGCTTATGTTGCAGTCTCAATTAGATTTCATTAGCAAAATGTGTTCTGGGTAAGTGCAGCTGTGGGTAAGGTGGAATATACCACTCCCCTCGGATTCAGCGTGGCCCAGAAGCCCCCCGAGTGGTGGAAGGTCCACCAGATGACAGACACTTAACAGCTTCCCCCTAAAGCCCAATTTCTCTTCCAGGACTCCCTGCTCCCCTCCCCCCCAGCCCCCACCCTGGCCCTTTCCCACTGCTGTGCACCTGTTCTGGAATGGCCACTTCCCTGGAAACGCTCGGCTGCAGAAGGAACCCACAGCACACTCAGGCTGCTGTCGGGAACACACGGGCCCCCCGCCCCCGGCCAGCAGCCTGCCCGGCTGAAACGGGATGTGCTGGCTGTTCCGAGCAGAGACCTGCAGAGCTACGGCTAGTGAGGGGAGTGAGGGGGTCTCAATTCATGGCGAGGGCTTGTCAATCCAGGCAGGCAGGTTATTTCCATAAGCATAGATCCTGGCATCTTGAACAGCAGCCCCACATCTGCCCCCAAGCCAGTGTCTCACTGCATCCCTTGGAGGCCCCGGTCCTTCGGCTGGCGTTAGCCTCTAACAGCCTGGTTATGCAGCCCCCTGCAGACGGTGTAGGCTGCTGCTGCCCCCACCCGCCGAGCCTGGCAGAGGTGCGGGAGGAGGAGGACGGCCACAGCCAGCCTCCCTGAGCAGGAATTCACCCAACAGCCGCAAGGTCTTATTTGCTGCCCGGTCAGCACAGAAAACGCTGTCCCCGGGAGGCGGAGACCCAGGGGTGTCTGAGCTCCTCTGTGTTCTTTCTGCCTCTGCCTCTCCTCACCACTGCCGAAAAGACCCCCGCTTTCCTCATTTGAAAGAAACTCACTGACAACTAATCAACTAATGACACGAACAAGCTGCAGAGAGGCTAACTGTGCAGACTGCGCCCTCCCCTCACATACACGCACACTCACATGCACACATACACACCCACACCCATACACTCATGCACACATACACCCACACATTCACACACAAAGCACACAGTCACACACACAATTCACACAGAAACTTACATACATTCACAAACACACACATAAACTCACATACATTTACACTCACACAATCCACACAGAAACAGACGCATACTCACACATTCACACTCACAGTTCACAGAAACACATGCACACACATACTCTCACATACACGCATTCACTCACACATGCACATACACTCACATATTCACACACATTCACTCACAGTTCACACAGAAACACATTCACACACATACTGACACGTTCACACTCTCACACACAATTCACACAGAAACACACGCACACATATACTCACATATTCACTCTCACATTCACATACATCCACACACATGCACAGAAACACAACACTCACGCTCACAGCGCCACCAGGAAAGGAGAAGAGAAAAGGGTGGCCTTTGCTGGCCTCGGCCCGCTCCCTCCGAGACCCCCGCCTACCCTGCTCTCTCTGCCTGGGCTACAGGGACGAACCTAGGAAGCTGCCAGGCAGCTGCTTCACACTCGGATACGCCCTGTGCTCTAGCTGTCCATCAGAATCCCCAAATCCAAGTGGACAAACAGTCCGTGCCGCCTCTGATGTGTGCCTTGTGGGGTGTCCACACGGCCGGTACCGAGAGTAAGCTGGGGGGCCCAGGGCACGGGGGCTGCCAAGGAGCACCCTGCGGGTGGGAGAGGCGGGAGTCAACAGGAGAATCCCCTTCCCCCGGGGCATCACTTCTTCACAGAAGCCCCCGCTCACTGCCTGGAACACGAAGGCCGCGTGGTCTGAGCTGCACAGTGCACGAGACCTGGGCAGCCATTCCCTTTCCCTTCCTAAGTCCAGCAAGTGTACGAAGTCCCTTCTTTTTAAGGAAGCCACTGGCTGCGTGCTGACAGCGTCCCTTCTCCTCTGATGGCCAGATGGCCTCCTGCAGCCGGACCTGGCAAGACAGGCTGTGTGCCAGGGTCTTGGTCCTTCATCCTGATTCGGCCTTTTCAGACACTAGCCCCCTGACTTCCTCCTCCCCAGCTACACGGACCAGTTAGTTCACTGACTTCCCTCCCTCGTTCCTGTCAAACGTTGACTGTGTCCTCCAATAGAAGCCCACCCAGAACTGGAAATCCGGGGTGAGGTCCTTTGCTGCCGCACAGTTGTAATGGCGTTTCCTAGCAGTGTCCCTCCTCTGTAGGTCAAGGCCAACCCTCAGCAACCCATCCAAGCAGCCCCTACGTCCACCCCTGAGCTGCTCAGCCCCAGATCTTACCCTGCAGGTCCCTCAGGTCCCTGTGGCCAGGCCATCTGGCTACCTCTGGAGTGAGTCGGCTCCTCCAACATCTGGCCACACCGCTGCTGCACGGAGGAGGTTTCCACTCTTGGCCTGCTCACCTGAGTGGCTTGGGGTCTTCACATTCTGGTAGCCGGCTGCTACAGAAAAACAAAAAACAGAAAGAAAACATCAGGCTTAAATACGGGGATTTATTCTTCCTGATGCCAATTTACCTTTAACGCAGTTCCTAGCGAGCCCGAGGGTCCACTCTTGGCTTCTAGTGGCAATTTTCAAGTGGGGGTGACCACCCCCAGAGCACAGCTGGCAAAGGCTAGAGACCGTCTTTGGTTGTTTCAACTGAGGGCATGCTGCTGGCATCTAGTGGGTAGATGCTACGGGTGCCACCGTGCATCCCACGATGCAGACACACACGCCTCAGTGACCTGGCCCCAGATGTCGCCAGCTCAGGCTAGCCTGGCTGCATGCACCGGGTCTGGGGCTCCCTTCCCCTGGGGCACCCCCACCTCTCCTCTTCCCAACTTCCCTGCTCTCTCCTGGACTGTCTCCCTGTTTGCTGTCCAGCGCTCCAACTGTGGGAGTCTACCACCAGGTAGATTCCTCTCTCGGGGCGTTTCACCCAAAATCCAGCGATCCAGCGGTCTTGCATCTGCACGGGCATGAAAGCCAGTTTGGATCGATGATCTTTTATCTGCCTTTTCAACCCCAGACCCTTCCTTGCAGATGAGTTGTAAACCTCCATTCCAACCGCCCTGCTTCCTCCAGCTGTGCTGTGACGCCAGCCCCCTCGGCTCCCCGTCCCGACGTAAGCCCCTGGGGCGCGGAACTGCTGGCGGGTCCTCGGGTACCCTGCCGCTCCCTCCCCAGCCTCACTCCATTCTGCATCTGTGGCTCTCCCTTGAAGGTCATGGCCAGCCACAGCCTCCTGTGGATACAACCCCTCTCCCTGAACCTCCTGCAAGCTGCTGGTACCTCTCCTAGAGGTAGCTACTCACTTGTAGCACCATGGCATCTCCCAGGAGACTCTGTCCACTTCTGCCTGCTCTGCCTCCCAGAGCCAGCTGAGGTGGCCAGTTCGGCTCCCCAGCCATGCCCCACCTTGCACCTGCGCGGTGCTTTGTTCCCCCGCCCCCACCCCCATGCACGGCCATGTTCTCCACGGCGGCCCATTGGAACGCCATCTTCCCTACCAAGACTTTCAAGGTCGCGCCCACTGGGAGGTGGTCCTTTTCATCTTTTTAGGAGGGGACTGGTGTCTGCCCACACCGTATCCTCTCGATGCGTGGTCTCCCGGCCAAGAACCATGAGACTAGAAAGCACACGGACCAGCGGGGTCCCACGAGAATGTCCAACAGCGAGATCGTGGGACCCTTCGGAGCTGGGCGGGGGGAGTGAGCTCAGGCCCGGGGGCAGGGCGCGGCCCCAGCGTCACTGACCTTCCTTCCAGCTGTGTGGACTCAGCATCCCGGGGCCTTAGCTCTTTCTCCATCCTGGGTGATCCTCTGCACCCGAGGAGAGGGTTGACTGGCCCTGCCTGGAAGCCACGCTCCTCGCCTCGGCCAGCGGCGGCCCCCTCTGTTGCACAGGTTGGCCCAGGGGTTGGCGCCTGGGAGCCCTTGGCCTCCTCTCTCCGCCTACGCAACCTGGGGAGTCATCATGAGTGACCCCACCGCGAGAGCGGTGCTGGGGCCTGCCAGGCCCGGCCGCGATGCACGCGCCTACCGATGGCATCCCGGAGCACGACCTCTTTGGACGTTCCAACGCGGCGCCCCCTATCGGACCTCCCACCCATATCCGGTTTCCGGTCCCACGCCCCTGCTCATTTGCCAGGCAGCCTTGATTGGCGTGACCCCAACCCAATGGTGACCCGGCGCCGGGGTCAGAGGGCAGTGAGTCTGGTGTTGGGGCCCCTTGAGTGCGTGGTGGTCTGATGGTGCAGCCCCTGCACGTAGGAGCAGGTGGCCAAAGTTTGAACCAAAGTTCGGCGTTGGCTCTGGGGAGGGTGTGGACCCGCCGAGCGGAGGTGATCGGCCGCCCGCGGTACCGGGGTCGGCTGTGTCCGCTTTCCCGCCGCGGGGTTGGCGCATTCGAGGGCTTGGCGTGTGGGCGCCGCCGTGCCTGGTGCTGAGGCAGGGCGCTGGACCCCGCCGGTCGCATCTGGCCCGCGGCGCTCTGCCCGCTGCGGCTCGAGGTGGGCACCCGTGCGGGCAGCCAGCTGGCCGCGACCCCTGCAGGTGTGTCGCGAGCCGTGGTCCGTCATCCGCGCGTGGACCGCCGTGCGTCCTTGCCGGGTTCCCAGCGACCGCAGCGCGGCAACATCGCCGCTAGGCGCAAATCCTTCCGCAGACCCCAGACCCAAAGCAGTGCGCATGCACACTGGAGCCCACCGGGTGGTGCGGCTGTTTCAGTCCCAGCCAGCGGGGCGCAGCCGAGCGAGCAGCCGCCGGGCTTGGTGGCTGCGCTTGCCGCAGCTTCTGCGGGCTAGCAGCGGAAAAGTAAAGCCACTGCCTGGGGACGGTCCTGGCGTGGCGCTGGGGGCTGCGGGATGACGGACCCGCCCTGCGGCCGGGGCCGGAGGCAGATGCCGCGCGCCTCGGCTGCTGTTGGTGCGGTGTTTGCGGGTTCCGCGCGCACGGGGTTGTGCGGTCTCCGAGACCACCCCCAAACCAGCCATAAACCCCGCAGCCGAAATCTTCCCCAGAGCGGTAGGATGTGTGGCGCTCTGAGACCTGCGCCCCGTGGGGCTCGGCTCCCCAGCGTGTCCCGCGACCCCCATTCCGTGCCGCCGCGGCCGCTACACTGCGGGGGGGCTTGGCTTGGTTCTCCATGGTGCAGTCAGGAGACCCCCATATTGCGTCGCATCATTGTCCACAAAAACAGAGGGACCCCTTACTGCGCCGCCCACGGCCACTGCGGAGACCCCAGGAGCCACGGGGGTGGGCGATGCTAAAGTGCCTCGCCACGGCGGACCGCGGCAAGTGTACCCAAGGCGTTTTACAAAACAAACTGTGCGCTCGCTCTCGACAGCCCCCCTCGCTCCTCATCCTCCTCCCTGCCCTTCCGGTGGGCTCACGACCACCTGTCGCATTCCCGCGCGCGCACGCCACTGTCCCCGGGCATCTAGAGCCTTACGCTTGGCTCGAGATCTGGGGCTAGGGGCTTCGGCGCAGGGGTGCAGGGGTATCCTGGGGTGAAGGGAGAAAAAGAAAGCCCTCTGCAGTCCCCCGCCCCCCGAGGAGAGTCGGCGCGGGCGGGGAGGGAGCGATTCTGCTCCTGTTCTCCAGCATCCCGAGGCCCACGTCTTGTGTCACGTGTCTCGCTCGCAACGCAGGAGAGCTTTGTGTGGCCAAGGGGAGAAGCGAGGAGAAAGGCTCCAAATCAGTCAGGGAGAGGCGTGGAAGGAGCCCAAACGTCCCTGCGAGGCCTGCGCTCGCCAGCCCCTTACCCAAAGCCGGGCCGGCGGTGCAGGGAACCAGCTTGGCACCGGGACCTGCGTCCTCTGGTGGCAGAGAGAGCGCGCGACTGGCGATTTTCGGACCGAATCGGCACGCTCCTCAAATCCAAGCAGTCTGTGTTGGCCTGGAGCAGAGAGAGAGAGAGAGAGAGAGAGAGAGAGGAGGGGACGAAGGCCGAGCAGGCCGGGTGGGGGCCTGAGGGAATCACCAGTGGCCAGGAAGGAGCCAAGACTTCACCAGCCAGAACTGCACTGCCTTGGCCATGGTCTGGGGTTCTAGGCCCTGAGTGCGCTCGGGAAGTGAGGCCGCAGAACTTCCCAGCTGGTACTTTTTTCTTTCTTCCTTTCAAATAATTTTTTTCACCCTAGTTCGGTTGGGTGCTCCGTCTCACGGAGCCCCCACATCATTGTAAGAGGCCGCCACCGTGTTATGGGCCTGCGCTACTGCCTCGACGGCAATAATATGTCAGGACAACGCCATCTCCCCCCTGAAGTCGGGGAGCAGCCTCCACAGCCAGCCTTGGAGGCCCCAGGGCCAGCTGCCCCCGGTGCTGGGCCTGGCCCAGCCGAAGAGATGGAGACCCAGCCGCCTGCCAGCGAGCCCGTCCCCGCACAGGCTGGCGCCGAGGCCTGTGAACCCCCTGAGGTCTCCGGGGGCACCCTGGAGGGCCTCGCCGTGGCAGCTGACCAGGAATTCGGAGGCGATGGAGGCTACAGCCCACCTCCCGAGGAAGCCATGCCTTTTGAGGTCCAGCAGCCCAGCGTGGGAGGCTTCTGGCCCACCCCAGGGCCCATCGCAGGCCTCGAGGCCTCTGTGGATCCCGGAGTCTCGGGCAGTGCCGGGCCTGGCCTGGGAGGCTACAGCCCCCCACCAGAAGAAGCCATGCCCTTTGAGTTCGAGGAGCCTGCTGGCCAGGGAGGCTGCAGCCAGCCAGCATCGGGGGTCCCCGACCTCGCTCCCGGTGGCACAGACCTGGGGGTCCCTGGAGCTCCTCCCGGGAAGTCCGGGGCGCTCAGGCCTGCCAGCGCTGGCCTTGGAGGAGGCTATAGCCCTCCCCCCGAGGAGGCTATGCCATTTCAGCTTGATGGAGAGGCCTTTGGGGACGACAGCCCACCCCCCGGGCTCCCCCGAGCGCTCCCACAAGTTGCCAACGGCGACGGTGGCAGCAGCGCGGCAATCGCGGTCCCGAGTGCGGTCTGCCTCGCTCCCGCCACCGACGCGCCACCCCTCTGGGTCCCAGAGGCTGTCAGAGCTGCTGCTAACTTCGCGGGCGCCAGCCCCCCGATGGAGATCGCCGGACCCCCGCTCGAGATGCGCAGCGCCCCCGTCGGGGTCGACGACGCTCCCGTCAGCATGGACAGCCCCCCAATCGCGAGTGATGGCCCGCCCATCAAGGTCTCCGGAGCCCCAGATAAGAGGGAGCGCGGCGAGAGACCCCCAGTTGAGGGAGAAGCAGCCGAGATGGAAGGAGGCTCGGTCAGCGCCTCTGCGGAGAAAGGAGAAGTCCCCTCTCCGGGGGACGGAGCCTCGGGCGCCCCAGCTGGGGCCGCTCCCGCCGCCGGAGCCGCTCCCGCCGCCCCGGCGGAGCCCGAAGCCGGGGGAGCCCCGGCCGCTCCTGGCACTGCGGCCGCCGGGGCAGCCCCGGCCGATGCCGAAGCCGACGCCGACACCCGCGCAGCCCCCGGCGCCGCAGCCGCTCCTGATGCCGGGGCAGCCCCTGCCGCCGGTGGAGCCCCTGGTGCCCCGGCCGAGCACGCCGCAGCCGCCGGGGCCCCCCAGGCAGCCCCCGCCGCGCCTGCCTCCGGGGCCAGACGCAGGCTCCATCTGCTCAGACCCCCCAGCCCCGAGATCCAGGCTGCTGACCCGCCTACTCCGCGGCCTGCTCGCGCGGCTGCCTGGCGGGGCAGAGCTGAGCGCGGCCGAAGCCGCCGCCGCTACGACGACGAGGGGTCGACCAGCGGCGACGCCGACTCCTCCAGCGGGGACGAGTCCGAAGAGCGGGCCGCCGGCTGCTTCCACTGGTTCCAGCGCCGCACACGCCGCCGCCGCAAGCCCCAGCGCAACTTGCTCCGCAACTTCCTCGTGCAGGCTTTCGGGGGCTGCTTCGGTGGTCGATCTGAGAGCCCCCAGCCCAAGCCCGCGAGCCCCAGCAAGGCCAAGAAGGTTTCTCTGGCAGAGAAGCGCCGACAGATGCGCAGGGAGGCCATGGAGAAGCGCGCCCAGAAGCGCGCCGAGAAGAAACGCAGCAGGCTCATCGACAAGCAGCTGCAGGCCGAGAAGATGGGCTACATGTGCACTCACCGCCTGCTGCTTCTAGGTAACGCGGCGGCGGACTCTGCCCAGGGGCAGCAGCCCCGCCGGGGACCGGGGAGGGGGCGCGGGGCGCGGGGCTCGGCCGCGGGAGGAGGGGGCACGGCCAGGAAGTTCCACGGAGGGACCCTAACTTTGCCCCGGGCGCGGGAGGGGAGCTGGGGCGGGTTCGGGTGGCCGAGGTGTGTGCCCTCCAGGGAGAAAAGTGGTGCCGAGCGACACTGAGGGTCGTTTCCGGCTGGACAGGCCAGCGCCAGCGACCGTAAGCTGGACAGGCGGGGGCTTCAGGTGAGCCGGGAACTGCCGGAAAGGGGCGCCCAGCCTCCGCCGGCTTAGGTTTGTTGGGGCCGCGGTGGGCTAGGGCCATCGGGGAAGGCGCGCCCCCGCCTCGCCTGGCACGGCTTGTTCTCGGCCAGCTTGTCGTTGGTGTGTGTCGGTGTGCGTATTCTCTGTGTCCGCCTGTGCATGACACGCTCAAGTGTTCCCCATCCCCGGCAACCCCCCCATCCCCGGATTACCCGCCGACCGTGTACTTGTACTTGGGGACGGGCTGTCGTGATGCGCGCCATGGCGCGGGCTGAAACTTTGCGCGTCTGCACACTCGTATGACACCTGTGCGCCGGCACTCCGCGGCGGAACCCGGCTGGGCCACCGGCCCGGGGGGGCGCCTCGGTAACCTTGTTCCTCTGTGTCTTTCTCTCTTTCTCCCTGTGCGCTAAGTGTTTCCTCACTTCTCATTCGTTCGCCAAACCCTCCCGCCTTTACAGTTGAAAAACCAGACACGCAGCACAGGTATCTGGGGCATTGGGGCTGCACACTGGATTTCAGCATTGCGCACAAGCACACTCACCTGGAGGGGGATGGGAAGTGGCTGGGGTGGGGGATGGAGGACATCTAGCCTGCTGTCGCCAAGTCTGGATCCAAAATCACACAGGGCTGATGCCAAGGGGGTGGGCGTGGTTGTGCTTAAAAAAATTTTTTTTTTCCCCAGCGAGGAGCCCGAGGTAAGCTTTTTCTACATTTACTACATTTAAGGTATGAGGGCTCTGGCGCACAAGACGGGGGTTATGTGCCGGGAAGTGGGGTGTCATCTTTGTGTTTCCAATGTGATGAAATAAAAACGTTTTCAAAATGCTCCAAGTGTATTTTGAATGTGTGGACGAAGGGTGTTAAAACTGTCAATCTGACTTGTGAACCATGTAAATGTTTGCATGTGAATTTTTTTTTCAAACAGCTTTAGCCCGGGGCAAAGAGGCTCAAAGGTAAGGTCCTCCACAGGTTGGCTTTGGGTACAAAAAAATAATTTTCAGAGGTGTCATGATTAAAGTCAAAGTAATGAAGCAATGCTCTTCTAACCAGATCTTTGGGGACCCTCCCTGCCCCCCATTTTCACCTTTCCCCATCTGTTAGGGACCCCTCCCCTCTCCAAGTCCTCCTTCTCCAGGGCTCTATCTCTAATTGGTACCCCCAGCCCCCAAGACTTCGCTCAGTCTGGGGTGTTACCCTTTTTGCCACAGTTAATCAAAAGCAGCAGTTAGCCAGGGTGTGCATCTGTGGCTCAAATGAGAATTTTGAGCGTGCATGATAAAGAAATGATGTGCACTTCTTTATTCTCTTAAGGCCTTTCAAGAATTTCTAAGGCTGTGCTGCGTGTGTGTGTTAAATGTCTTCATAATGCAATGCGTGTCCCACAGTCTCCCGTGTGACGGCCACCCAGGAGATAACAGCGTTGTCACTGACCCCAGAACACAGCACAGGGAGGCAGGTTCCATTTCAGACTTCCCAGCCACACTGAAGCGTTCAATGTTTTTCCTGCAGACAAATGATCCCACCATAACAGACCATCCCAGTAATCCTAGCATAGCTCTGGGGTGCCAAGCTGTGATGGGGGCAGGGTGGGGGGGTGGACACAGCTGGGTGCAGACAGGGGACCCCAGTGACAATGCACACCCTGTCCCTGGGTGGCAGCTTGGCGGATCCCCTTGCGTGTTCATTTGTGAAAGGAAGCTTTCCTAGCAGAACTCCTATAAGGAGTTTTGCCCCCAGGACTTGGGGCCTCTGCTCTGCCCCTGAGGGTGAGCACAGTCCATTTAAATCAGGACTGGAGGTTGATACCGTAGATTCTGGTAGCCAGCGATCCTGCACCCAGCTGCCCAAGTCCGAGGCCAGGTCTCCCTAAAATTAGCAGTCGAGCCCCACCCCCACTTCCTTGTGTTCCCTCCAAGAGGAAAAATTAATCTTAAGGCAGTGTGTTGGGGGTCGCCTGCCATTGTCCTGCCTTGGATGGAACTACCCTGGGTACTGGTAGTTCAGCAAACAGGCTGGTGAAGCTGGGCCTGTGTCTAGCAGAAGCAAAACAAATGTGCCAGGCTGGCCGCAGCTGTCACCCCGGGGCTCGTCCAGTCAGGCTGTAGTCTCTGACCAGCTTGGTTCTGCTGAGGTGTGAGAGAGCGGCTCGTCTGGGTCTGAGCCCCTGACTGGGGAGGGCAAGGAGGAAAGCTGAGGACTTTACCGCAGGGAGGATGAGGCCTTTGCTGACTTACAAGTCCCAGTAGCCATGCCACGGCACCCATGTGGCTCTCGCGTCCGTCCTTAGGTGTGATGTGCTGCGGCTTCATGTGTTGCTTTCACGCTGTGTGTGTGTGTGTTCTCTGTGTTCATGGCCAAACAGCTTAACTGCATTCCAGGAACCTTAAAAAGGAAGACAGATAGATAAATATTAAGAACCTGATGAAAATTCTAGAAAATCTAAAGAGTTGAAGCCTTTTTCTTCCTAACACTGTCTAGTAATGGGCCATTTCCACATTTCTGTTGCCCTCTCAAATCATTCCAATGGCTTACACTTTTTGGGGAGGGGGGACCTCATTTAGGTGTGAGTCCCTCCTTGTTGATCAGAATTTCTTAGCGTCTGCTTCATTTATTAAAATTGTGCAGGCAAATGCTATATACAATAATGGCCGTTCTGCCATGACACTTCATTTATACAGTGAATCACAATTAATTTTATGATAATTAATTTAAGCCGCCAAGTGCAACCGTGATGCACTGCATCCCATTTTGCAGCAGTACTTTTTTTTTTTTTTTTTTTTTTTTTTTTTTTTTTTTGATGCAGCCATTTTTCTGCATTCAGGATTCCTCCCTGAGCCATTTGGTGCAGTGGAGGGGGAGGGGCACTCATCAGACCACATTTTGAAGTTAAGAGAGAGGCTTCTGGCACTTTCCCTCTGTCTCCCAGCGGTAGTCACGCTTCCAAAGGCCAAAGTTCTGCCCCGCCATTTAGAATCCGATAGCACAGAGTTCTCACAAACTTTTTCTGTTGGGTAGGGTAACTTTTTTAGTTTACCTGCGTTGTTTAAAAGTAAACTAAAAGTAAGCAGAGAAGGGAGGGTGCCTCCTCGTATTTCCTCTCCTGATCTGAGAGGGAACCCCCGTGCTCTCGGTAGTATTAGAGTATTAGTAACCTGTAATAATAACAGCAAGACAGTCGGAATATTTTTTAACATCTACTCACATCTGTCCTTTGAAACAGCTCTAGGCAATAAAAACCATAATAGGACCTATTTCACAGGCAAAAAGGCCAAAAACTCAGAGATTAAATGTTAGAGACTGTCCCCCCTCCCCCCCCCAAAAAAAAAAAACCACAGGTAAGAAAAGGATCTGTTTTCTAATTCAGATAAGATTTAATGCTGACCAAAAATAGAGTAATAAGCTATCAGTGTTTCAGCATAAAGCAGGATGATGTGGGTATACTCTGGACTCTCAAAATCCTCTGTCAGATGACAGGTGCCTAGCGGCCTCTGCTTCTGAGTCGGAGCCAAGCCCCCACAGATCCCTGGTTGTGAACGCCATCGCGTGTGCGTGACCTGTGAGCTTGCCCCGTTTCTGAGATACCTGCCATTGCTATGGTGACATTCAGTTTCCACATTTGCTTTAACTCCTCTGCCAGCACTTTGTTTGTTTGCTGGGATTTCTTTGTTTTGTTTTCTGAGTTTTTTTATTTTATTTTTTAATCCCCAAGTAATTTTCTGTAGTACAGTCTAAAAACTTTTGTCCTTACTCTGGTTTCTATCAGCATCGTCATTATCATCATCGTTATAATAATTATTATTATAACACTGTTGCTTTTGTAGATGCCTGGCATTTAGACCCTGGCCCAGCTCTACGGAGCGTATTAAAATAACCCTGCTCCGTGCGCCCCACCGTGATCGTGGTAAAGCTGATCCTCATTTAGCAAGAGTCGGTGCATGATCTTAGGAATCACCTTTGACTTTTATGCAGAAATGTTGACGTTAAGTGAAAAATGCATATTTTTAGAGAAGGCGACCTCATTGGTTAGATTTGAGGTTCCCAGTGCCAGCCATGCCTTCTTTTTACCATCAATTTCCCCTCCAGATTAAACCAAACCCCTTGCCCCAGCAGGACTGTGGCTTCCGGAGATACACGGAGAGCAAATGAAAGTTGGTTTCTTTTACCTGTGGCACATGTGGGGTTCTTCCACACCCACCTCTTCCTCCCCTGAGTTGCTAGTGAAGTGCAGAATTAACGTGTCCTTTGCCCGTTTTTAAAATCAAAGTTCTCAGGAAGAGTAGCCGCTTTTGAAATGGCAGTGACGAGGTCTCCACCGTGCCCCCCTCCCCCGGTGGGAGGAGGTGCTGAAGCGCTGGTCAGTGCAGCTTACTGTCTCGGCCCCTGCTGGCCCTCCAGGAACGGGGGCTCTGAGGCTCTGGCCCTACCTTAACAGAGTTCAGTGACTCAGACTGAATGGGAGCTTTGTTCTCACCGAATTCCTGGCCTGGCCTGCGGTCGCCCCGAGAGCAGGGTCAAGCTCTGAGTAGGCTCCAGAGAAAATGGGCCCGGGCCTGTGCCTGGGGTTTGGCTGGAGAATCTGCCAAGTCCTAAGTGGCCTTTAAACAACTGAGGAAGACCAGTGGGCAGCCGCAGGGAGACACTGACAACGCTGCTGGCTCAGGAGCGAGGGAGGGAAGAGATGTTTCTCCAAGGAGTCAGAGGAGGGACACTGTTTTATTAATTCCCCTAAAAAGGGGCCAGTTACTAGAAGTAAAGTCAGATTCGAGAAACCTGGAGAAGGCCCAGGGCCCTGGCACATCTGAGTGCCTGCCCCCTCCCCCCAACTGCTATTTTTAGAAATTTTCATCCTGGACTTTTGGTCTCCCTGCTCTGAGTGAGACTTTTTGGGTTGTTTGTTTGTCCATCTTCTGTATTTCTCATGTGATTGTGGACTGGGAAGGTCTAAACGTACTGTGTGTCTGGCTCTGCATTCCAGAATGTTCTTTTAGTCAATCAAGGCCAGGCTGAGCAGCAGGTGCACGACACCTGATGATTGGGAAGTGACGCTCAGATGAGAAGACACCTTTGTCTATTTGTCCTGCAAAGAAGGGTCTCCCATCAGCCCCACCAGCAGGGTACCCTCCTGCCTTAGATCAGCCACTGTCTGTAAAACAGCTCAATGACCGTAGTTGTGCTGGGCTCATTCACGGTTAACACATGCAAAAAAGAAAAAAGTGTCTTCAGTTTCCTTCCCAGGAGCTGCGTGGTGGAGCAGGCTGGCCAGCGAGGACAGAAGCTGAGCAGCTCTCCGAGGAAGAGGTAGGGAACCACAGAGACACGTTCGACTTTTATTGGCCGTTGATGTCACGTGCTGCGCTGAGACGTGGGGTGCTTGGGCCTCCAGCTAGGCGCACGCCTGGGAAGTTAGACTTGGAGCAGCTGTGCACACACGACAGCTGGAAGCCAGGTCGGGAACGCGTGCTCTGTAGCTGCTGTGTTTCAGCAGTGGGGACGCGGGGCGTGCGCCCGTGTGGCACTCGCTTGGAGGTAAAATCCCAAAGTGCACCGCCGAGTCATCTGTTGAATCTCAAGAGGATTCACGCGTATTTTGACTCATGGAGTTCTGCCCACAGAACTTGAACGTTGGATCTTGCTAAATGTTTTAATGATGCAATTTGAGGGGAGGAGAGAGGTATCAAGGTGCTATAAATTGATATCCGAACTGCAACGTATTATGAGTCAGGCAGCGCTTCCGAGGTTGTCACACACACTCTGTGTGTGGGACACAGTGAGTACTTTGAACTTCCTCTAATGAGCTGATAATGGGAAGAAGGAAAACTCAGGTGCCCACTCGCTAAGGAGTGCCACAGCGGAGCTTTGTCGAGCTCAGTGTTGGTTCTCACAAGGAGATGGGAACATGGTGGCAAGAGTCTCTGGCTGCCGCCTCTCTGTCCTCACCTCCTCCTATAGCCAAGAGCCCACTTACCTCTCTCCTCCGCCCCGGCTGAACCGCTGGGCCCTTTATCCGACTGGTTGCTTATGTACAATGCCATAACCATTTCTTTACAGAGACTCACCTTCAGGTAAGTTCGCGGCTGTGGGGTTTTAGAAGAAAGGCTAATGCTTACGATGGCACACACGAGTCAGGATCGGGTTGTAGTCCAGGACCCAAGAGGCCTCTGCCAAAGGAAATAGCAGGTGTCCTGCCAGTGTCCAGCCAGTGTGTCCTGGGCCTCTGGGGCCACGTGTTTGGGCCTCAGTTTCTATAGCTGCAACAGTAGCCGGGATGGAGCCAGCGGAAGGACACTGAAGTCACTGGGACCCCTTGAATATGTCCTCTTTGGCAGATGCCACTTTGTAAAAGCCCTGTGCCTGTCCCTGGGGACCGCCTGTGGGTCCCTCTTAGTCAGGATCCAGTGCTCTGCAGACCTGGGAACTCTTAGCAAGTGTCCACCTTAATTCCTCGTGGCTGCTCTCCAAGGAGCCCTAGCAGGCCTATAAGGTGCTTCGCTAGCTTAGTGATGAGGTCGTGTGCATCATTCGGCTCTCCTCTGCCCACTGCCCCCCACCAGAGTGGTTTTGAATGGCTGGTTTCAGAAGGGCCCGGAGTGCGGTGGGCTGCTTTGCCCGGTGGCCACTAGATGGTGAGACAGTATAAGCAGAGGGACAGTGTCGCATCTGAGACACAGGAGGGGACAGGAAGAGCTTGCAAGAGTGGGCAAGGTCCCGCTCCTCTGGGACCCCCACCCCCACCCAGGGCGCAGGCTGGATGTCAGTAGGCCCCAAAGCTTTAAACAGAGCCAGTCTTTCGTTTTTAAGCTGACTTTTTGCTGTTCACTATGTGCTGATTTTAGGAGCATTTTAGGGGCTCTGTCTTCAGAGAGGGGTTCTCTGAGAAGTTGCATGGACGTTGGTTACAGGAGGCTGGCCCGTGCCCCGCAGGGGGCTCAGCATCAGTCCTGACCTCTAGACACCAGCAACACACCTACATATGCACATGCGTGCACACACCATGCCCTGCACGGTCTCATACACTCACACCAGTACATACACACCCCTGCGTGCACACACCATCCCCTATACTACACACACATACACGCCAGTGTGCACACACCATACCACCCCCTGCACCGTACGTACACACACATACCCCTGCGTGCACACACCACCCTCTACACTACACACACACACACCACCTTTTACACGACTACACACACACCAGTGTGCACACTCCACCCCCTGCACTGTGTACACACACACACACACACACACACACACACCACCTCTCACACCAGTACATACACAGACCCCTGCATACACACACCACCCCCTCACTATACACACACACTCCTGTGTGCACACACCCCCCTCTGTACCTCTGTACACACACACTACCACCACAGTACCTTCAACACTCACACATTGCTCACCACACACACGCGTGTACGCATGTACACACCACCCCACACCACTGTACACACTGCACACACACCACCACCCAACACACATAGACCTGCACACATAGCACCTGTGCTCCACTGTCACACACACAGCAACACCACACACACACACCTTGTACCTCCCAGCACACACACACACACACACACTGCCCCTTCAACCACATTCATGCACCTCCCACCATACACACACACATACACATACCGCCTCCCACCATAGCATAGACACACAGCGCCCCCTACCACCATACTCAAAAATACGTCTACCACCTCATCACACACACACACACACACGCGCACACAACGAGGACCCCCTACTACCACACACACACACACACACACACACAGCTCCCCGCACATGCTGAGTGTGCCCCTGGTTCAGTGCTGCTGGGGCCTGGCCTTACTCACCTCGCCTTCCTGTTTGCCCTTACCTGCACATCTTTAGGGGAAGGTGGGCTCCTTCGAGCTGGGGTAACCGTCGCATTAAATGTCCCCTGTGTTCTTGGGTCGATGTAGCCTCAGCAACCGCGGAGGAGGCGGTGAGCCCGCTGGCCCTCCAAGGACAGGAAAGGGAAGTCTCGGGACACAGTGACCCAGAGCAGCCCCTCGGCTAAACCAGGGCCAGGCTACACCAGAGCCTCCTGGCCTGCGGGCTGAGGTGATCGCATCTCCCCCCAGGGCTCTGCACTCACCCTCGTCCCGTCTGCCGTCTGCCAGATCCTGGGAAGAATGCAGGCGGCGAGGCGGGCCCAGCCCTGGGTGGCGGCCGCCCGGCCCAGGTGCTGGAAAACATTCTCCGAGCCTTTAACCGGTGATGTGCGCCCGCCAGCCCGGGCTGTGGCTGTGGCTGTGGACCGCCTGAGTCCCAGGCTGCGGGTAGCCCATGCCTGTGGCCCAGAGGTGACCTATGACCCTTAACATCGACATTTCGAGGCAGAAAGCTATATTGCCACGGCTGCGGATAACTGCACACTGGGAAAGGCAGAATAGAATCTTCCAGAAATAAAGCCGCCGTGCATTCGTGCCAATGGCAGGAACAAGACATTTCCTGGAAGAGCCTTGCCCTCGGTGTTCAGTGAGACCATCCTGGGGCAGGTTCAGTGTCTCTTGGGATAAAACAACGCGCCCTACCCCCACGGCCTGTGTCTGTCCAGCCCCACTCCCAAGTAACCACTCTGGGAAGGAGTTTCATGGCTTCTTTGACTGAAGAACGTGTCTTTTTGCCCGCGTGTGTGGTATTTCAGTGGAGTTTCAGTTGTTACAGGTTCATCAGGAATCTCATTTCTTTTTAAACAAAGGGTTTTCCCCTCCTCCCGTGGAGTCTGGAATTTGGGCCTACAAGTTCATGGCCGAGGCCAGAAAAAATAAAGACAGGCAGACAATGGCCGCGCTCCACTCCGGACACGCACATGTGTTTAATAAACACTTTCAGCTTTTACTATTAGGGTTACTTTAGGGTGAGGAGGAGAAATGGGCTGATCACTTGCTAGGTTATGTCTCAGACCCGTAAAATTAGAACTATCACCTGGAACCCAGGCTCGCCTGGCGTGGCCGGGCCAAGCGCCCCTGGCTGCAGCGCCCCTCACCGCAGAGTCCTAGAAATCCCTCGGGGCCGGCGTTCTCGGTGCTGGTTTTGACATTGTGCCTGGGACCGAGTGCAGCGTCTTTCCAAGAAAATGCTTGGAAGACTCAGAGCAGAAGTGAGCAACAAATGCCAGACTTGGAGGGAATTTTTTTTCGAAGTTGCATTGCCAGGAAAGTTGCAGCTATTCACAGCGAAGCACTGATGTGATTTCATTTCTTTCTTTCTTCTGAGCTGCTAAAAGGGAAGCGGGTCAGATCATTTTGTTTTTGCAAAACAAATGGCCGGCGCTGGTTTTAAGGTGGACACTTGGAAGAGGGCTCGTGGCGGGACCCACGTTCCGGGCAGTTCCTCGGGACTCGCTTCTCCCGGGCTGGTTTGGCTGTTGGTTTCCAGGGATTGCCCTGATGGGGCAGAGGGTCTGATCACTGGGGGAATCGTGGGGGGCACAGGAGCCCCAGTGTTTGGGAGGGTCCCAGGGTAGTGGGAAGACAGCCTTTGCTTAGAAGGGGGAGGGTCCTCATTCCTGTGACCTTGGTTGCTTCTAGAACTTTCTTCTGGGATTCCATGTGCTTGCCAGGTGACGCCCAGAAAGGGCCAGTTTCCATTCTGTGATGAGTGTGCCGTACTCCTGGGGTCTTGTCATGGCCAAGAGAGTGGTGGGGTTGATGAGTTGTACAGGGGCAGCGGGGGTGGTTCTGTGTTTGACTTCAGGTCTAAAGAAGTAAAGACAAGGCAGGGTCTGGACAGGTGGGACCTGGGAACAGGCACAGACCTGCAGTCGACCAGAGGAGACCTAGGCAAAACCCAGGCGGACCCCCCAGCCCAAGACAGAGTGGACGGGCGGTGTGAGGGGCTCTCCTACCCGTGGCCCAGAGCCAGGCTCTGACCCCGATGCTGAGGAGGGGAGCCTGGAGACCCAGCAGAGGCCCCTTGGGATTTGCCCCAGAGGTCGGCACAGCTCAGACTTAGGGGGAGGCATAGCAATCGGCCTCCTGCCGATCTGCTAATTTCTTGTTTCACCCCCCACCACTTCTTTCTCTCCAGAGACCCTTTTAAAAATAGGGTTCTAATTCCAGGGGGCTTTCTGAGCAGGAAATACCTTTTATTTAAGGGAAAGAGAGGAGAACACCCACTGTTCAGGGCTGGGAAGTAGAAACAAAAAAATCCAGAGAGGCTGCTCACAACCGCTGGCAGGTGGCGCTCGGCTTTTGCAGTTGGGGGCCTGGCGTTAGACCTGCAGCTGTGCATGCCGGAAGCAGAGCTCTCCACCCCCACCCCTCCCTCCTCACAAGGCCGAGGCCCTCGGCCCCAGGCCCAGGGATGAGCAACGGACGTCTGGAGACACACAGGTCACTTTTAACCTGTGGCTCTGCTGTGGAGACTTCTCGCGCTCCGTGGTCTGAGACTTTGGGCAAATCCCTTTATCTCCTGGGTCCTGGGTTTCTGAAACTGAGATGGGGGAGGGAGGCTCTCCCACTTTAAAACATGGTTAATTCTCTCGTGAAAAATTTAAAAAGGAAGAGTCTGGACCCCGCTGCCACCCAGCCCCTAAACACACACACACCTTTCAGCATTTCTGTTCCAAAATGCAGGTTGCATAGGAAAACAAGTTTTATGGCCATGTTTTGTCCTGGGGTGAATGATTAATCATGCGTGGGTATCCCCTGCTGGGAGCAGAGGTCAGCAGAGGTCCATCCCCCCCCTCCCCCCCAGTCACGGCTGGGAAAGAGACCCAGAGGTGAGCAGAGATCCGATTTCCACCGGGAGACCAGGAGCCTTCCTGGAGGGACGAGCACTGGGGACCGTAGAGGCCAATGCACACATTCTGGCCCCAATGCATCTGCCCTCTCTGAGGACGGGCCCCTCGGTGTCCGGCCCAGCACCGGGCTGGGGTGGGGGCTTCTGGAGGACTTGTTTCCAGCCCAGGGAAGCCGGGTCTGGCTGTCTAGGGCCAGATCCCCCCGTCCCAACAGCAGGCGCTGCCATAGCCTGGCGCCCTGCAGCCGCTGGGAAATCACGGGGTGATGGGTGGGAGAGGGGCCACGTGGGCTTCCCACGTGGAGCCCCCCGGCGCCCGGAGCAGGGATTGTTCCTCTCCAGGGAGCCCGGCCCTCGCTCGCCTCTCTTGCCCTTTCTCTTAGCTCCTCTAATAGCAAGAAATTGAAGGAGCTGCCTGAAACAGGTGAAGTAAATGTCTCCCCACTCCGCCACCTCAAATTGCCCCCCAAGTCAGCCTCACCACAGCGCCCCGTCCCCCACCGCTGTCGTCCCAAGCATTCTTTGGACGCTTTCTCGCTGTTTTTCCCTCCCCACGGCCCCAGACGTAGGCCCTGACCTCTGACCTGGGACAGGCAGGCACAGCAAGGGCAGAGGTCACCCCGTGTCAGGCGCAGGTGGGCGGCCCCCTCCAACACCTTTCCTGGGCTGGTAGAGTTCCTCCCCACCAGGGGTCAGCAGAGAGCCTAGAATGGCGTCGTCCCCAGCAGGAAGTAGTAGTGCAAAGAATTCTCTAGATGCTGAGCAGCAAGCAGGAGCGGGAAAAGGCCCGTTTTCTGGGGAGTCTGTGGTTGGGGGCGTCCGTCCTGTCTTGTACCCCGTGGGGCTCATTTTTAACAGCAGAGCTGCCGTTCTGTGCTTCTTGGGGTCGGGGGGGATAGGGGACTCTGGTCTGGTTACTGGGTGGGTTTATTTGCCAGCCCACCCCCCCCCCCCCCCGCCAAAACAGCCCACGCCTTCCCTGACAGGCCCACGCCCTCGGAGCTGTCCCTGAGAGGCCACACTGCCCACTGGCGAGGCCGCAGGACTCCACGCCCTGCCCTTGTCCTTCTAGAAGTTGTAGTTAGTGAAGACGACACGATGCCGTCCCACCACGTCCCCTGACCCTGCCCTTCCTTGCCTGCTCTGGTATTTCTTTACCCAGAGGGCGCAAGCAGTGCCGTGCACACACTCACTCGCACACTCGCACACTCGCACGCCCGTCGGGTGGGAGGCTGAGTTCCTTCCTTTGCTCTCCTTCTCTGGACTTTTGTCATCCCAGGGTCCTCAGACTGGGTCCCCTCAGCCCGCCCTTTGTGGCTGTTGAAAGAAACGTCCAGATGGAAGCAGAGGTGGATGTGGGTTCCCTTGACGGTTTCAAAAGGACACGGGGAGGGGGGACGAGAAAGGAAGAAGGCGGCAGAGAGGAAGCCGAGGGAAGTGGGCGTCTTGCCAAGTTCAGCACCAGATGAGCTCCCTGCCTTCAAGAAACTTCCAAACAGGAAGCGGTCAGGTTGCACAGGCAGGGGCGGCCAGCTGCCAGGCAGGGGGCGGCCAGCACAGCCGAGGGCCCCGGTTGGGCCCGGCGGGGGGGGGGGGGGGGCGCAGTTTGCCACGGACGCCGTCCATCTCGGTCCCACTGCCCCATGAGGTCATAAGAGTCACACAGACAGCAGCGGCTTTGAGGGTGTCGGGGGGGGGGGGCTGGGGGGCAGGACAGAGCCAGCACGGACCCCAGCCCCAGGCTTGTCCTGTCGGCTGGGGGGCAGGACAGAGCCAGCACGGACCCCAGCCCCAGGCTTGTCCTGTCGGCTGGGGGGCAGGACAGAGCCAGCACGGACCCCAGCCCCAGGCTTGTCCTGTCGGCTGGGGGGCAGGACAGAGCCAGCACGGACCCCAGCCCCAGGCTTGTCCTGTCGGCTGGGGGGCAGGACAGAGCCAGCACGGACCCCAGCCCCAGGCTTGTCCTGTCGGCTGGGGGGCAGGACAGAGCCAGCACGGACCCCAGCCCCAGGCTTGTCCTGTCGGCTGGGGGGCAGGACAGAGCCAGCACAGACCCCAGCCCCAGGCTTGTCCTGTCGCCACAGCGGGCCCTGTCTGCTTCCCCGGCTGTTAATCTTCTAACGGAAAACGATTGTCCATTTTATCTGGAAATGAGCGCTGTGCACGCCCCAGCACGGTCTGCCTGTCCGAGTGTTTTCACAACGCCGGGGCCCACTTGGTGCTGTCTCAGGAAAGCTGGCGCACCGGGCACCTTTGTGTCCTTAAACAAATCAGGAGTCCTTGGATTCGATAATTTCCCAGAATAAAACAAAGCGGTTGTGCCCAGCACACACCGTGTGCGCTACGTGTACCTCGGGTGTGCACGGGTCCCTGGAGCTTTGCAGGCTGCAGCTACCCCAGCACAGGCATTGTCTTCTGTTTTTTTCCCCTTCCTTCCTTTCCTCCTCTCACCCCCTCCCCCTTTGAAAAACAAGTTGAATTCTCCTGGGGTCCTTCATTGGGGGTGGGGGACAATTCCACTCTGTGCGGAAGGGAGAGGCCGAGCAGGGACAAGATGGATGGCTGGGGGTGGGGGCCGCCAGGGCCAGAGGCAAACCCCAGGCCAGACCCGTGGCTTCCTGGTGTTGGGGGAGAGGACATTGTCGGCTGTCTCTCTGTGTCCTGTGCTCTTTTCATCAGCTCGAGTGCAAGAGAAAAAAAACAAAAAACAGAAAAATCAAAATCCTGTCCTAATTTACCATGGACGACCGTATTCCCCCAAGTTTTTGCCTTTTTGTTAAAAAAAAAAAAGAAAAAAGAAAAAAACACCAAGGCAGAGGGGCTGCAGCTGCTGGTGCCAGAGTCAGCCCCTCTCTACCCAGAAAAGCCCACGCTCTCCCCGCAGCTTGTGGGCGCCAGGACATAGGACGTGCTGCTAACCGATCTGGGTGAAGTTTTGTAGCACTTTGAGACAAAGCAAAATGGCTGACAAGGAGCCAGGGGAGGGGTGGGAGCATTGGCTGCCCCAGTGGCCAAGAGCAGGGAT